AATAATTAATTTTTTTTTATTTTTTTTTCTTGTAGGTTTTCCTTTAGTTATTTTACCTTGAGGTGTTACAGAAGGTCTTCCACCACTTGTTTTACCTTCACCACCACCATGTGGATGGTCCACTGGGTTTTTAGCTACACCACGAACAGAAGGTCGTCTATTTAACCAACGAGAACGTCCAGCTTTTCCTAATTTAATTTTTTTATGATTAATATTAGATACTATACCTAATGTAGCATAACAAGTTAATAATATTAATTTTAATTCACCAGAATTTAAACGAATTCGCGCATATTTATTATTAATTTTTTGAATTAATTGCGCAGATGTTCCAGCACTTCGTATTAATTTTCCTCTTGATTGCGGATATAAACTAATATTATGTATTAAACTACCAATAGGTATATTTTGTAAAGGTAATGCATTACCTATTTTTAATTCAGCATTTGGTGAACTTTTTATATATTGATTAATTTTTAAACCTTCCGGTGCTAAAATTAAATAAGATTGAAAATCATTTTTTATATAAGCAATATTTGCAGAACGATTCGGATCATATAAAATTTTAATTACATACCCCTCAATATTTTTTGTTCTGTTAAAATTAATTAGTCTATATAAACGTTTATGACCACCACCACGGTGTCTTACAGTTATTCTACCTTGATTATTTTTACCGTTAGCACGTTGAAAACCTTTTGTTAAAGGTTTAATTTTAAAAATTTGAGTTAAATTATTTTTTTTTAATAAAAATGTTTGACGTTGTGAAGGTGTTATGGGATTTATTTTTTTTTCTATCATTTTATATGGTATATAGATAAAATCTATTATGTTATATATTTTTAATAAAACAATTTCAGATTCAAAAAGTATTTTATATTCATTAACTGTATTATATGGAATTAATGAATTTCAATCTAAGAAAATTTGTAAAAATATAGGAATTAATCCTCAAATCACTCTTAATAAACTTAAAAACAACCACGTAAACCGACTTACCGGATATATTAATAAAAACTTAAAAGTTGAACAACTTTTAAAAAAGGCTAAAACTGATAGATTAAATGAATTAGTAGAAATTAAAAGTAATCGTGGAATTAGACAAAGTCTGGGATTACCTGTTAGAGGACAACGAACACATACAAATGCAAAAACGTCTAAAAAAATAAAAAAAATTTTTATTCAAAAACGTATTTCACGCAATAAACGTTCATTTAAAATACAAAAAAAAAAAAAATAAAATTATTATTCTATGAATAAAAATAAATTTAAATATAATTTTAGAAATAAATATAAAATAAAAAAAAATTTAATAAAAAAAAATCATTTAATTTTAGAAAATTTAAATATTACGAATAGATTAAAAAATNAAAAAATAAAATTCAAAAAATTATAAAAAAATAAAAAAAATTTTTATTCAAAAAAGTATTTAAAGCAATAAAAGTTAATTTAAAATAAAAAAAAAAAAAAAATAAACTTATTATTCTATGAATAAAAATAAATTTAAATATAATTTTAGAAATAAATATAAAATAAAAAAAAATTTACTAAAAAAAAATCCTTTAATTTTAGCANCGCAATAAACGTTCATTTAAAATACAAAAAAAAAAAAAATAAACTTATTATTCTATGAATAAAAATAAATTTAAATATAATTTTAGAAATAAATATAAAATAAAAAAAAATTTAATAAAAAAAAATCCTTTAATTTTAGCAAATTTACATATTACGGCTAGCTTAAAAAATACTATTATTAGTTTAACAACACATAAAGGAAATCTTTTAAAACAATGGTCTACAAAATCATTAAAAAAAACNAAAAAAAAAAAAAATAAACTTATTATTCTATGAATAAAAATAAATTTAAATATAATTTTAGAAATAAATATAAAATAAAAAAAAATTTACTAAAAAAAAATCCTTTAATTTTAGCAAATTTACATATTACGGCTAGCTTAAAAAATACTATTATTAGTTTAACAACACATAAAGGAAATCTTTTAAAACAATGGTCTACAAAATCATTAAAAAAAACAAAATTTAAAAAAAATACCCCATATAATGTTCAATTAATCGTTTATAAAATTAATAAATATCTTCAATTAAAAAAAATTAAAAAATTAAAAATGTTTTTACATGGTACAGGTTTAGGTCGATATAATATTTTAAAAAATTTAAAACAAAAAAATTTTAAAATAAAATATCTTTTAGACAAAACAAAAAAACCGTTTAATGGTTGTAGAGTAAAAAAACAAAAAAGACGTTAATTTTAATATGGATAGGTGATCGAGTGGTTTAAGGTGTCAGTCTTGAAAACTGAAGTATGTAATAATACCGTGGGTTCAAATCCCACTCTATCCTTTTAAAAGCTAGAGACGGATTTGAACCGTCATTAAAGGATTTGCAGTCCTTTACATTACCATTATGTTATCTAGCCTAAAAATCTAATATATGAATAAAAATAAAAAATTTTTTACCTATAAAAATAACATTATTTTAACAAATGGATCTTCTTTAAAAATAACATCTATTAAGTATTTGAAAAATTATCAATTAAATTCAAAAATTTTTAAAGAAAAAAAAATTATTAAAACTATAAACACTAATTTAAATATAAATAAATTAAGTTTTATAAAAAAAATTATTTAATTTATATATTAATATATTTATTTAAATATATTAATATATAAATAAATATTTCAAAAATAAATAAAAAAACAAAAAAAATAAATAAAAAATTAAATATTTCCGGTGGTGTTATTAAAATACTTAATAATATTATTTGCAAATAAAAAAATTTTCTAAAATTAATAATTATTTTAATTTGAAAAATATTTGTAAAAATTAAAAATATTAAAAAAAAAAAATAAATAAATATTATAAATATATAACTGAAGGATGAAAAAATAAAATCAAAATAATTATTAATTTTAGGTTCAAAATAAATAGTTAAAAGATATAAATTTGAAAAATTTAAATTTAATAAAAAATTCCAAATATAAGGAATAATATTTGTAAAAATTACATTTATTATTAAAAAATTAAAAATTATAAATATAATATAAAATTTAAAAAAAAAAAAATTTTCATATTTATATAAACCTTTTGATAAAAAAAACCAAATTAATAAAATGCTTAATTGAATTGATATAAAAACGGATATAAAAATGGATATAAAAATATTTGTAATAAGAATTTCAGTAATATTTGTAAAAATAAAATATTTTAACATATTTTTAGTAAGTAAATTGTTAACTAGTAAATATATTAATTGATCTGAAAAATAATATGAAATTAAAAAAAGATAAAAAAATGTAATTAAAATTATAAAAAAAGTATATTTTAATTCATATAAATGTAATTGTAAATAAGTTGTTATTTTAGTTTTTTTCATATATTATAAAAAACAGCCTACTTGGTGAAATTGGTAAACACGATAGATTTAAAATCTGTTCCCATTCAAGGGTTATTGGTTCAAGTCCAATAGTAGGTATTAAGTCATTATCAAAGTGGTGAAATTGGTAAACACGTTACACTTAGGATGTAAAGCTTTAATGCATTAAGGGTTCAAATCCCTTCTTTGATAATTTCTATAAAGCTATATTTTATATTTAAATATAAAATACAAAATTTTAATTAAATACTTTTTTAAAAAAAAATGTATCTTTATAGTGGAAATAAATTCAAATTTTATTAAATTTTTATAAAATAAATGATTAATATATATATTAACAATATAAAATTAAAAGTTAATAAAAATTTAACGGTATTACAAGCTTGTAATATTTTTAAAATCGAAATTCCTAAATTTTGTTTTCAAGAAAATTTACAAATTGCGGGTAATTGTCGAATGTGTTTAGTTGAAATCGAGAATTCACCTAAACCTGTAGCTTCTTGTGCTATGCCTTTAATGCCTAATATGAAAATTTTTACTGATACACCTTTAGTACAAAAAGCACGTGAAAGTGTTTTAGAATTTCTTTTAATAAATCATCCATTAGATTGTCCTATTTGTGATCAAGCTTCTGAATGTGATTTACAAGATCAAACTTTAATTTTTGGTTCTGATCGTAGTCGTTTTTTTTTTAAGAAACGTGGTGTTGAGGATAAATATTGCGGTCCTTTCATTAAAACTATAATGACCCGATGTATTCATTGTACACGTTGTGTTCGTTTTGCTAATGAAATTTGTGGTATTGATGATTTAGGTACAACAGGTCGTGGTAATAAAACAGAAATTAATTTCTATTATCCAAAAATTTTTAATTCCGAATTTTCTGGTAATTTAGTTGATTTATGTCCTGTAGGTGCTTTAACTTCAAAACCTTATACTTTTAAAGCACGTTCTTGGGAATTGAAAAAAAAAGGTGGTATTGATATTTTAGATAGTATAGGTTCAAATATTACAATTGATATTTTTAATAATGAAATTGTACGTATTTTACCTCAAACCAATTTTAATATTAATAAAGAATGGATATCAAATAAAACACGATATTTTTTTGATAGTTTAAAATATCAACGATTACAACAACCTTTATTGAAAGATGATGAAAATAATTTTCATAAAATTTCATGGTTAGATGCTTTAAATATAATTAATCAAAAATTAATAACTACTGATAGTTCTAATATTAAAAGTATTATTGGTAATTTAACTGATTTAGAATCTCTTTTTTTATTAAAAAAAAATTTAAATAAATTAGGAATTTCAAATGTGAATTATGAACATTTTTTAAATAATCACCATTTTAAAATGAATACTGATTTAACTTCAAATTTTTTATTTAATAATACACTAAAATCTATTGAAGAATCAGATCTTTGTTTAATAATTGGTAGTGATATACGTAAAGAAGGTTCTATTTTAAATATTCATTTAATTAATCGTTTAAAAAAGGGAAATTTTAAAATAGCTTATATAGGTAATAAAATTAATTTTACTTATCCTATAAAACATTTAGGTTTAACTTTTAAAACATTAATAAATATTATTTTAGGAAAACATTCATTTTGTAAAACTTTAAAAAAAGCTAAAAAACCTTTAATTATTGTAAGTGAAAATATTTTAAATCAAAAAAATGGTTTTTTTTTTTTATCAAAATTAAAAAATTTAACATTTATTAAAAATAATATTAATTTTTTTAATTCACAAACTTCTTTAATAAATTTTTTTGAAATTACATTTACAACACCACAAAAAATGTTAAATAATTCAAAATTATATTATTTATTTAATACAAATTTACAAAAAAAATTAAAAATATCTAAAAATAATTTTATTATTTATCAAGGACATCATTTTACTAAAGATGCACAAAATTCAAATTTAATTTTACCTGGATTAACTTTTTTAGAAAAAAATGGAATGTATATTAATTTAGAAGGTTTTATCCAAAAAACTGAACAAATTTTAAATTTAACTACTGAACAACGTAAAGATTCAATAATTTATAGAAATATTTATAAATTTGTATTAAATAAAAATAAATTAAAATCAGATTCGTTTTTTAAAATTAAAGATGTTTTACCTTATTTATTAAAAAAAAAAATAAAAATTATTTATAATTTCAGTTTTAATAAAAAATATTTAAAAATTAATGTTAATTTTTTAAATTCATTAATTAAAAATAATTTTTATACCAATATATTAGAACAATATTCAAAAATATTAATTAATTCTAATAAAATTATCAAAAATCAATCAAAATTATTATGATATACACAATTTTAAAATTTTTAATTTTAGTATTACCTTTATTAATTGCTGTGGCTTATTTTACTTTAGTTGAACGTAAAGTATTAGCCTCTATTCAAAGAAGAAGAGGACCTAATGTAGTAGGTACCTTTGGATTATTACAACCTTTAGCTGATGGTCTTAAATTATTTGTAAAAGAAACTATTTTACCAAGTAACGCCGATGTAATTTTATTTATTTTTGCTCCGATTTTAGCTTTTTTTTTAAGTTTATTAAGTTGGACTATAATACCTTTAGGATTTGGTATGTTTTTTACTGAATTAAATATAGGTATTTTATATTTATTAGCAATTTCATCTTTAGGAGTTTATGGTGTTATTATTGGGGGTTGGTCTAGTAATTCTAAATATTCATTTTTAGGTGCATTAAGATCAACTGCACAAATGATTTCATATGAATTAACCATAGGATTTTCTATACTTTCAGTAATTGTTTGTGCTAAATCTTTAAATTTAATTTCTATTGTTTTAGCACAAAAAACTGTTTGGTATTGTTTTCCTCTTTTTCCTATATTTTTAATTTTTTTTATATCATGTTTAGCAGAAACAAATCGACATCCTTTTGATTTACCTGAAGCTGAAGCTGAATTGGTTTCTGGATATAATGTTGAATACTCTGCAATGGGTTTTGCTTTATTTTTTTTAGGTGAATATGCAAACATGTTATTAATGAGCAGTTTAACAACTATTTTATTTTTAGGTGGTTGGTTGGCTCCATTTCCATTTAGTATTAAATTTATTAATTTTTTACCAGGATCTTTTTGGTTTAGTATTAAAATATGTTTTTTTGTTGTTTTATTTGTAGTAGCTCGTGCTGTTTTACCCAGATATCGTTATGATCAATTAATGCGTTTAGGTTGGAAAGTACTTTTACCCTTTACGTTAAGTTGGTTTTTATATACTGCAAGTATTTTAATAAGTTTTAATTGGTTAACTTAATTATGAGTATTTTAAATCATTTTATTTTTACTTTTTTTTTATTTTGTCTAGGATTATTTGGTATAATTTTAAATAGACAAAATATTATAATTATTTTAATGTCTATTGAATTGTTATTATTATCAATTAATTTAAATTTTATTTATTTTGCAGTTTTAATTGATGATATAATAGGACAAGTCTTTTCATTATTAATTTTAACCGTAGCAGCAGCAGAATCTGCTATAGGCTTAGCTATTATGATTGTTTTCTTTAAATTAGTTGGAAATATTTCAATTTATAAAATTAATTTATTATCTTTATAATAAATTAATAACATCTTTAACGTTTTTTGATAAACATAACTCAAAAGAAATAATTTTTAAATTAATAAGAATAAAAATATAAAAATTATATTCTTTAAGAAAAATATAAATAATAATATTTATATTGATTTTTTGGAATAAAAATTTTCAAAAATTAATTAATTTTGTATATATTAAAAAATAAATAAAATAATAAATTTCAATAATATTATGACAACAATAAATTATATAAACAATCAATTCACTTTTTTAGATATGGCAGAACCTTGGCAATTAGGTTTTCAAGATCCCGCAACTCCAGTTATGGAAGGTATTATTAACTTTCATCATGATTTAATGTTTTTTTTAATTATGATTACTGTATTTGTTTGTTGGATGTTGTTTAGAGTTATTACTCTTTTTGATGAAAAAAAAAATAAAATTCCAGCAACTATTGTACATGGTGCTACAATTGAAATTATTTGGACTACTCTTCCAGCTTTAATTTTATTAACAGTTGCCGTACCTTCTTTTGCATTATTATATTCAATGGATGAAGTAATTGATCCTATTATTACTTTAAAAGTTATAGGTAGTCAATGGTATTGGAGTTATGAATATTCAGATAATTTAGAATTTTCAGATGAACCTTTAATTTTTGATAGTTATATGGTTCAAGAAGACGATTTAGCTTTAGGGCAATTTAGAATTTTAGAAGTAGATAATCGTGTAGTTGTTCCAACTAATAGTCATATTAGGGTATTAATTACAGCATCAGATGTTTTACATTCATGGGCTATACCTTCATTAGGTATTAAATTAGATGCTTGTCCAGGTCGTTTAAATCAAACATCAATGTTTATTAAAAGAGAAGGTGTTTTTTATGGACAATGTAGTGAAATTTGTGGAGTAAATCATGGATTTATGCCTATTGTTGTAGAAGCAGTTTCATTAGAAGATTATTTACTTTGGTTAAAAAATAAAATTAATTTTAATATTTAATAAAAAAATTATGATATTTAAACTAATTGGTATAATTTTTTTAATATTATTATTATTTACAGATATTAGAAAGATACTTAATAAAATCAAACAATTTTTAAATAAATAAAAAATAATTTATTATCTAAGATAATAAAAAATTAAAAAAACCAACGCTTTTTTTAATTTTAAAATAAAATATATAATTTTGCTTTTAAAATAAATTTTCAAAATATTCAAAAATGAATTTTCAAAATATAAATAAATGGTCAACAAGATGGCTTTTTTCAACAAATCATAAAGATATTGGTACTTTATATTTAATTTTTAGTGCTTTTGCTGGTGTTGTAGGTACAACATTATCTCTTTTAATCCGAATGGAATTAGCACAACCTGGTAATCAAATTTTTATGGGAAATCATCAATTATATAATGTTGTTGTTACGGCTCATGCTTTTATTATGGTTTTTTTTTTAGTTATGCCTGCTTTAATTGGTGGTTTTGGTAATTGGTTTGTTCCTTTAATGATTGG